TAATTTCCCTTGTCATTTCTTTTTTAAAAATTTTTATTGAATTAAAGTTAATTATCATATTTGGGGAGTTCAATGTTGACATATGTTGATCAAATCAATATTACTAGCATATATATTGTTACAAATCGTACTTATTCTCTGTGCCCCTTGTCCAACCTCTCCCTATACCTGTCTCCCTCCCCCTCCCCCTCCCCCTCTGATGACCCTAGATTTCTTCTCTCCCTCTGAAAGAGTCATGGTTACTCTGTTGATTTGTTGCCTAGATGATCTGCCCAATGCTGAGAGGTGTGATCAGGTCCCCCAACATTATTGTAGAGCAGATGGTTCTTCCGTCACTCTGGAATGGGCTTTGTGGAGAGAGACATCCTCTGCTTTTTTTTGTCTCTGCTGGTGACTCTCCTTGTGTCGATGCACTCCAGTGCCTGGCAGACCATCTGCATGGTGGCTGTGGTGTCTAGCCACTTTTGCAGCAGCCATGGTTATAGTGGTGGCTGTGGTGGGCCACCCACATGGAGGTGATGTTTTTGTCATGTTCCTTGGCACTGGCAGTGTGCCTGGTTGTGAGAGGGGGTCCAGTCCCCAACTCCATATTTCTTTTTTGAACCGTGAATTATTTAGAGGTATGTTGTGTAATTTCCAATATTCGGGGGAGATTCTAAGTACCATATTGGTTCTTATTTCTAACTTGTGTCTGTTGCAGCCATAGATGGTACTGTGTGTGGGTTTTAACTATTTGTGTTGTGATCTTCTCTCATAAACTAACAGCAGTCTTGTTGACCATTCCATGCTCACTTAAGATGAATGTGTGTCTGCCGGTGTAGGTTTCTACAAATGTCAGTTAGGTCAGGTTGGATGACAGTGTCAGTTAAGTCTTCTATATACTTTTTGATTTTTTTTTTTTTTGTCTGCTTTTCCTATCAAGTACCAAGTGCAAGATGTTCAAGTCTCTAAGTGTGAATGTGGTTTTGTCTGTTTCTCTCTTTAACCGTGTCCACTCATCTCCATGAATGCTGAAGGTCTCTTGTTAAGGCCATTACATCCTCTCGATGAATTGTTCTTCTAATCGTTGTGAAATCTCGCTGCACCTCCAGCAATGCTCTTTGTCTGAAGTCTGTGTTTCCTGTCCTCCAGCCACGTGCTGTTCCACACAGAGTGGACAGACCACTTCCATGTCCAGACACTGCACACTAGGAGGATTTCCCTCACCTCCTTCTTTTAGGAACTCTGAATCAGGAGAGTCCATTTTGGGCTTACACCCAGAGACCAAGCCATCACATCCATGACCCAGGCTCGACGCTTTCCTCCTCCAGCAGCTAGTACTCGGGAACCCCCCCACCAAGGCCACATATGAGGAGGGGGAGGTGTAGCTGTCCACGTGCGAGGATATGGTGACAGGCCATTACCTGTGTAACTGACATGGCCTGACGACTCTGCTTGGCCTGGTCCTGGATGGAGACCTTGTCCACTGCACAATGACCACTGCTGCCACCCCCAAACCTATGACCCCATAACACTCAGCTCTGATGGGCAGCTCAGGTCACACAGATGTCAGGTGTCTCATGGCCAGTGGCTCATTCTCTACAAGGGCCTGGTATCATGTCCAACACTGCGTTTTGAACAGTGAGTGGTTCTGTGCTGCAGAGGACATACTCTTGCTCCAGAACTTTAGTTCCTGTATTGGGGTTTGCCAGAGATGCCACCTGCTGCCCCTTTCTACTGTGGGTACCGTTAGCATCATGGCTGTATCATAGCACGAACCTACTGAAGAACTGCGGGTGCTCTGGCCCCACTCAGAGCGAACGGCCTCCCGAGCCGCCCGATTCATGGACATTCCAGAGTGAGCTGCACGCACCACACCCAGCGAAGCCCACCCAGCACCGTCCTCATTCCAGCAATGTCTCGGCACAGACCACTGAGCCTCTAAACTCTCCATGTGGGGGCAGACCCTTGAAACTCTGTAGGTTCATCTCCCGCCCTTGAGGATGAATGTGTCCTACGAGGCATCCAAAGAACTTGCAGTCGGCGCTCCCCAGTTCTGACCGGGAGGACATCATCAACATGGTGAACCGCTGATGCTGCACAGAACCTCCGGATGGTGAGGACGCATCAGGCCTGAGTTGTGACACAGGGCAGCAGGGTTAACGCACACCCGGGCCAGACGGTGAGCTCCCATTGCTGTCTCTTCAAGGGGACACAGACTGCTCCCGACCCTCCCCTCTGACAGGGTTGAGAAAATGCATCCCCGGGTCAGTGGCCACGCAGCGAGTTCCAGAGGCAGCACTGTCCTGTCCTAGTGAAGACCACACGTCTAGCGCAGCACCTGGGCTACAGTCACAGCGTGGCTAAGTTTATGTAATTTACTATCATTTACCATAATCAATCTGGTTTTGGTTGGGGCCATACCGAAGAATTAAAGTCTTTGAAGGTGGCACTAAATTCTGTTATCGCAGCCGGGATGCGGTGCGCTTTGCTGGATGATTGCGGCCATGGGAGGAGGGCTGGTTTCACAGTTCTCCCCTTGACCCCCGACGGTTGGAGCTCTTCCTCCTGCTAAGTACGGCCTTCCTGACCCACACCCAAACACCAGGAAAATGACCACAGCGTGGGCCTGGACCCTTTGGACACATTATGAATCAGATTTGGACCGAGATTCTGTTTTCTGTGAGCTCCCGCTCTCATGGGGGCAGGGCATGCTGGCGTTTCATGTCCCCTGGTATTAGCGTTGGCTTGGGCCCTGAAACCCACAGCCTTCATCAGACCTGGGCACGCCCTTCCATCAGGGTGTGGTCACACTGGTGCACGGCCAGGGTCCCTCTGGAGGAGGTTCGGGGAGCTGCTGCTACGTGCACCTGCTGTGGAATTGCCGGTCCCCTCCCGAGAGCCCAAGGAGCAGGCCGGGACTCAGCAGCTGAGGAGTAAACGCCACCGAGGGGCCAAAGAGCGTGGGGAGCAGAAAATGCCTGCTGGGCCGGGCACAGAGGCCACTAGGTACAGCAGGCTGCAGTGGGAGGATGAGAGAATGCGAGGTGGGGAAATAGAGGACAACGGACGGGGGGTGACCTCAGATGCCAGGAGCCGGCACCTCGCCCCAGTGACAGGAGGAGGCAGACGGGGCCACGTGACAGCTGTGCTGTCCCCTCTGTTGTCCTCATTTTCCTCCATGAACGAGTAGGGGGACGCCTGGGGAAGAGGGGTCATTCACAGAGAAAGGAGGAGGTTTGGAATCGCCCGGCCACACGGAAGCCTCTTCTGCCTCTGTGTCTCTAGGGGAAATATTCTCCACGCGGATACACGACAAGTGCAGGCGCCATCCCTGCTGTGTAGACCAGGGCATCAATTTATTCAAATCTATAGTATTTTATCGCCAAGGAGCAGTGCACGGTGCAGGCAGGGACGGGCCCTCAGACTCCAGGTCTCACGCAGACATGGCATGGATCAACACGCATCACGTGGAGCACATGGCACCTTCGTCCCAGCCCTCACCCCAGCGTCAAGGCAGCTGCTCCACAAGACCCGTGCTGCCTGGCACTGTTGGACTCCCACCAGGCCATCCTGGACAGTCTGAGCGTGGTCTGCGGTGACAAAATCCCTCCACCAGCCACCTAAGGGAGAAGCCCCTGCCCTTCTTCATATGTCCCAGGAGTCTCCTGTGTTAGGGGACAGAAGGGCTGTGGGGGCAGACACTGGGTGACCCAGCTCAGCTCTCCTTGCTGCCCAGAGTCTTGGTCTTGTGGAAGATGCTCTGCATGGCCGAGACCCGGTCCTTGTCCTGGATGTTGAAGACCTGGAACTATGGGCATTGCAGAAGAGAGGAGGGTTACAGTGACACTTAGGAGCCCGTCACAGGCGTCACAAGATCCAGAACACAGCCTGACCCTCCCTGACCACTGGGCAGTACTGCTTCTGGACAATTTCCTGGACGGTCATCCCACAGGTGGCCCCAGCATCCTCTGCTCCAGCAGCCCATCCTCCCACGCAGGTGTGCCTGGCATGGGCCCGACACAGAGGAGACCCCTGGGTGCTGGTTGAAGGCTGAGTGTGTGTCACCCCTCCTGCTACCAGTCCCCCCACAAAGGTCTGCTGAGAGCACAGAGCGGGGCCTAAGCTTCTCTGCCTGCAGACTTTGGGGTAACAATTTTTAAATGGTGGCGGGGGTGTCCCCAGGAGGTTCTCAGCAGTCTGGTAGGTGGGAGTTTGCTAAAACAGGACAGGAGAAACCCAGCAGATCGGTGGCCACGCTGGGCCTTGCTGTGACTAGGACAGGGAGAGGTTGGCCAAGAGAGGCAAGTGTGCCCTGGACAGAGACCGTCCACTCTCGGGATGGGGCTAGGGCTGCCCTTGGGGAGGGAAGGGGGCACAGTGGGGGGGGAGGGGTAGGCTCAGCTGATCAGGCAGCACCTCAACAGTCCCCCACAGCCGGACACGCCCACCTTATCCAGCAGGACATCAAAGTAGGCAGTGGCCCAGTAGGCGGGGTCACTGGCAGGCAGCTGCAGCAGCGCCTTGACCCCGTTGTCGATGCGCGGTGGGGGGCTGCGGCCCAGGTGGGTGACGTGGATGCGCAGGGAGGCCTCAGGCTGGCTGGCGAAGCCCTCCACGCGCTGGTAGATGGCGTGCAGGTCCAGGCCGCACTGCAGCAGGTTGCACTCCGGGTGCAGGAAGTGGGGCAGGTTCCTGGTGGCCAGGCAGCAGAGCAGTACCACCAGCAGGCGGTACACGGCGCCCTGCAGCTCGGCCCAGTCCTCGGGAGCCGGGAAGAGCACCGAGGCCCACAGCAGCACCGTCTGTGGGACAGCGGGGTCAGGCCCGGCCTGCGGGCTGCTGTGGCCTGCCAGTCTGAGCCAGGACCCTCCCCACGTTCTGCCCTAGTCTGGAGGGCCCCCAAGGCACGGTGCCCCTCTCTGCTCTTCCCCTGACTCTCCCAGGGCCCAGCCTGACCCTGGGCACCCCCGGCCTCTCCCTCCACCCTCCACTCACCCCCACACCAGCCCTACCGGAGACCTGTCTCAGGGGCTTCTGAGGCTCCCACCATCCTCTGGGCTTTCCCCACCCCCACCCCCCAGGAGCTCCGAGTCATCCCCTGCAGCTCAACCCAAAGGGCCCATCCCGTGGCATTGTCACAGCCCTGGCCTGTGTGCTCATGACCCCTGGTCCCAGACAACAGTCTAAAAGCCTCCAGAACCGAGTTACCTGGCCCCAGGTGCCCTCTTCCTGCCCCCGCCCCGTGGCCCCAGCCAGGCCCCTCTGCTCTCACGTGGTTTCCTCTCTGTGTCCTCAAACCCCTTTCCTGCCACAGCCCCCATTGCCCCTCTGTTCAGTTTGGGGCTTGGGAACATCAGACTCTGGGATGACTGGAAGCTGTGACCCAGCCCAGACGGAGGCTTGAGAGGGCAGTGAGTAGTCCAAGGTCACACTGAGGTTGGGGGCAGAGCCGTCTTCTGACACCAGGTGAGGTCACCTCTCCCTCAACACCTGAGCCAGGTGCTTGGCAGGCCGCACACTCCGGGGAGGGGCTGACCTGGCAGAGACCCCAAGACCCACAGCCCCCACCTGCCTCCTCTTCACCACTTTGTGGGGCTGGGGGTCTGAGCCCCAGGCCCTGACTCTTCCTTGCTCTTCTCAGCACGTGACAGTCACAAAGGCCTGTTAGGACACAGTTCTGCCAGAGTGTCACTGCAGCCCAGCAGGCAGCAGAGAAAGGCTGCCTGGACTCTCGCCATGTCCCCAGGGGCTGGTTCACTCAGGGGGAGGAATCCCAGCCAGGTAATGTTCACAGACACCAGAGAGGACACCAGGGTCCCCTCAGGACAGACGCCCAAACCTGTGCAGCCCAGCCCTGAGGTCTGACCCAACAGTAGCCTGCAGCTGGGAGGGCCTGGCCTGACCTGCCATAGCACCTTGAGGTCACCTCACTCCAGCCACAGCCTCGCTTGCTAGAACCTGGGTGAGACCTCAGAATCCCAACGTGGAGAGCTCACTCAGGCCACCTACCCACCAGAGCTGGCAGAAGGGTGCCCCAACCCTCAACCTCCAGGTAACAGATGGGCCCGCAGGCTGGGGTGGGGGCAGGGTGCCCACCGAGCCCTCCCACGCGTACCTTCAGGTGGCCGAAGGTCAGGCCATCACTCTGGCCGCCGTCTCGCCAGCTCTCGTGATTCACCCGGTCGAGGATGGAGAGGCTGTCCAGGCGGTGGCCTTGGAGGGAGCCCAGCGCTCCGAGCAGCCTGCTGAGCAGGTAGTCTGTGGAGATCCTGCAAGCGCAGGCAGACACACGCGGTTGGCGTTGGGGTCCGCTCGGTTCCAGTCACCCCACAGTTCATCACGAGAAGGAAAATCTCCCAGCTTCTGTTGCCACCCGGTATCAGAAGCTCCTGAGCCCCGTGGGAGGGCTCGGGCCATGCGAGGGGCCGTGCGTGCTGTGTCTTCTCCCGCTGGACCCGGCGGAGCCCTCAGACTTCTGCGGCTCTGCGTTCCTGAGCTGTTCAGCGTGAACGTCCAGAGTTCACAGAGACTCCCAGGCCTCAGAACATGGAGGGGTCGAAGCAGCAGCACCGGTCCCTGGCGGGCTGTGACAGCCCCACCCACGGCCCTGCTGGGAAGCCTGAGCCTCCCCAGCAGGCGGCAACAAGAAGGCCGTGGTTCAGATCGCCGCCACCCCAGCGCCCACGGCCAGGGCGCCGCACGCTGGAGGCGCTCACGTGTGCGTGTTGAGCGGACTGAAGGGGAAAGCCTCGGGACCACACCTTCGTGGGCCCACTCTCTGTGGAGTTCAAGCCTCCGTGTCTTCAGGGACAGGGCACTGGAAAGGTCACCTTCCCATCTACTTGCTCAGCCCTGCCCTCCCCCTTCCTTGGTGGGCAGCAGCCAATCAGCAAGCTGGACACAGCCCCCGCTCTGCGCGGAGGGGTCAGTTGGGACAGGGGCACCGGCACTCCCAGGGAGAAGGGGTACAGCCAGCCTCGCAAAGGTCATTGGCGTCTGAGGATAGACTCACTACAGTCAAAGCATCACCTCCAGGCACGTGAGCAGGCTGGTCAAGTGCCCTGGCCGGGTCACGATGACCTTGCCTGGGAAGTGCTGTTAAAGCAGTGTCAGATCTGGATGGGGCTTGGTCCCTGTTCCTCGGTTTGGGGTCTTGAGGGGGCTTAGCCTCTGCCCCACGCCCCTCCTTCTCCGTCTCACATACGCTGATTAGATGCGGGCGGCCCTTACCCAGCTCTGGGCTACTGAGGACAAGAGGACAGGGGGCCCAAGGAGGGGCCGCTGGAGCACCAGGGCCGACAGGAGAGGGGACATCTGTGGCTGAACATGCAGGCAGGGGACGGACACTGTGACCTGGGAAGGGCAGCCCAGATGGAAGATGCTAGCAAGCCCAGGCCCAGTTAGTCTCATGGGACTCTGACCACCCTGCCCACACGGGGAGCCCCAGCTGCTCCAGGAACCCGCCGACACCCTAGGCAGCAGCTGGGCAATGCAGGGCTGGCCAGGACAGCCTTCCCCAGGTCTCCCGTCTCTCATCACTCAGCCGCCGCCAACAGTGGAGCTGAGCATCCTGGTGTAGGAAGCCTGGCTGGGTCCCGAATTTCCCCGGAGGCCCCAGAAACCTCAGCGGGACACAGATGCCCATGGGGGCAGAGGTAGGCGGGGACCCCGCAGACCCGGGAGGGAGTGTCTACCTCCAGTGCTGGGCGCTGGCTGGCACCAGGTCCACCCCTTGGCTGGTGATCCTCTTCAAGCTGCCCTCGGGGAATCCCGGTGTCAGCCGGGCCCTCTCCAGCGCGGGCACCCTGTGCTTCCTCCTCACCACAGGCACGACGTTGAAGCGGATCGTTCTCCAGCCACTGGACACCAGCAGGGACAGGTGGAGCTGCTCATCCCGCAGGCTGGCCGCGTTCAGTGAACCTGCAAGACCCGCCGCCGTCACACCGCTCCGCTCTTCGTGCGGACCCTGCCCTCCCCTGGCTGCAGACCGGAGCCATCGCCTCCCACCTGCAGCCCTCGCTGCCCTGTGCCCCCCACCCCGAAGTCTGCTGCTCCCCACCACGTCTGCCCACGTATGTCCTGGAGCCTCAGCCGAGCCACGCATGCCCCACAGCGGTACCGCTCAGCGGTGCAACTGTCAGCTCAGAGACTTGGCAGCCTCCGCAATGACAACAGTGACGTTTCTCTCTCTCCTGCCGGTGGCACCACCCCAGGCCTTCCTGAGCCTGCCTGCTCTGCCTGGTCCCTGCCACCGAGGTCCCACTTCAGCCCATGCTCACCCCCCTACCATCACGACTGCCCAGCTCTCTGCCGGTCACCTTCCCTGTGGGAGGAGAAGGCGGAAGCCCAGGCTGGAGCCAGGAGACAGCCTGGGCCCAAAGAGGAGCAGGAATGACCCCAGGTGCTGCCCTAACAGTGGGGTCCCAGGGCCCCCACAGGCTTGGAGCCCGGGAGTCTGCACAGCAGGGCTGCCAGCATCCCTCCAGCCCCCCACCCCCACCCCTCTATAACCCAAGCAGCCTCAGACCCTGCAGCCCTTTGCTGGAGAACTGTGGGGAGGGGTCTCCAAGTGGCTTGTCTGCAAGGCTGCTTCTTAAGGTCCAGGCCCCTCAGTCTTCAGGAAAACTCGTGAGGGGTGCTCTTGGGCCCCCAGCACCCCTCTCCTGGGCCTGAGCACTCCGCCATGCTCCGTAGCTGCCCCTCTGCGGAGGACAGCCTCTGGCCACGGGACACCAGCGGTGCCTAGGAGGCCAGGTCCCACCCTCCAGGCAGCCTGTGGCTGGTGATGACATAGTAACCCCTGTGGGGCAGCTCACACTCCAGAGCTGGACTGGACCTCTCCTGACCAGAGCTGCCCCTCCCACCTCTACCCCCACACTCCTTCCTCCAAGCTTCCCTGGGAGGCCCCTCCTCTAGTCAGCCACGTGTGCAGGAAGCCCCCGGTCAGACTCAGGTGGAGGGGGCCGACCTGCACAGGCTGGCAAGCTGGCCTCGCACACCGCAGGGGGGCTGGGGGCGTCACGGACAGGGCCCAGCCCAGTTCGAGGTCATGTGGGAAAGAACATACAGCCTTGGGGCCTGGGGCGGGGGCGGCCGTAGGGCCGACCTGCACAGGCTGGCAAGCTGGCCTCGCACACCGCAGGGGGGCTGGGGGAGTCACGGACAGGGCCCGGCCCAGTTCGAGGTCATGTGGGAAAGAACATACAGCCTTGGGGCCTGGGGCGGGGGCGGCCGGCTTGGCTGACCTGTTTCAGGGCTGCCCTGGCCCAGGAGGCTGGCAGTGGACTCAGCCGGGCTGCTCTGCATGACAAGGCCTGGATTCCACTGAAGCCCCTCACGTCCTTGCCCAAGAACCCCACAGATGGCACATTCCAGCTGAGAAGCTTCCTGCTTCCTTCCCTGCCCCACTCGAACCCTGCCTAGGGCCCAGCCCAGCACCCACTTCCCAAACAAGGACCCCAAACCGCCCAGGAGGGGACATTTCAGGGGATGACGGGGCTGGAGACTAGGGAGGTGGTGGGACATTCTGGTGTGTCCAGGTTAGGATGGCCAACCCACTGGGAGCCAGGCACGGATGGCACTTCAGTGCGTCCCAGAGGGAATCCCCAGCATATGCCTCGGAGCAAGGTCTCCACAGTGAGTGAACGTGGGGGATGCCTTCCCCATCCGACAGCCTGGGGCCCCTCGGATGCAGCCCGGTCCCTGCCATGTGGATTCTTCTGCACCCACAACCTCCTGAGGGCAGCTCTTGGGCCACCTCCTGGGACGCCTCCCAGGACAGTCCTGGCCCTGCCACCTGGGCCGCTCCATCTGTGTGTGAGGCTCAGTTTCCCCATCAGTGAGAAGAGAAAAGGGGCCCCCTTCCACTCAGCATTTGAGGCACCTGCCATTCAAACCACCTCTGGCGGTGTCATCTCTTTGTCTGCTACTGGCCACACATTTTGTCTATGAAATGGCAGCTTGGAAGGCAGCCAGCCACACCCGCCAGCAGTCCCAGCCACCCCTGCCACAGCCCTGGGCTGGTCTCACCAGTTCCCAGGGTGGGGGCAGCCTGAACCCTGTCACCTGAGGCTGCCACACTTCCCTTTTAAGGTGTCAGGAAGTAATGCCTGGAATTTCCCTGCACACCCAGCTTCCTGGGGCCCCATGGGGGTGGCACCTGTCCCAGCCCCGGGTCTGCTTTCTCAGCCTGGAAGCAACCTGGGATGTGACCAGGGACTGAGAGCTTAGACTGTGCCTGGTTGACCGCAGGCCTGGCAGGGCCCCCTGCTCACCCCAACAGGCAGGGCAGTGGCCTGGCAGGTGACAGGGACAGGTGTAACAGCCCTGTTAGGTCAGGCATGAAGACAGAAATGGCCCTGCCAAGCTACCTGCAGTAATTAGAAGGTTCAGAAGACGACCAGATAAAGTGCCCAAGGGCCAGAGGGCCGGGTGATGGTGGGCTGTGGGGGTGTTGGGAGCCAGACACCTAATGACAGGCTCCAGCCACCCAAGAGGTCGGTCACCTGCCCCAGGACACCAGGCAGGTCTGGGGAAGTGCTTTGGCTGAAAGCTGCCCTCCTGGTGTTGGAAGCACTTCCAGAAGCCCGAAGACCGTCTGAGTCCCCGTCTCCAGCTTGTAGACCAATATCTGGCTATGTGCTGTGCCGGACACGCCCTTCTCCAGAACCGCAGGGCAGGAACCAACAGAGGGCAGATCCGTCCCGCCAGCCCAGGTGCCTGAAGTCCCCCTGCCACCCAGCCGGCCCCAGCCTGGGTGTGCCACCAGACCTGGGCTCCGCACAACGGGCAGCCCGAGCAGGTCGCCACCCCTCAGTAAGGTGAGTTGGCCATCCCCACCCATCAACCTCACGGTGGATGTGAGGGTCAGACAAACACCAGAGAGGTGACTTAAGACAGCACATCCGTGTGAGGAGTGTCAGCCACCACTGTCACACGCCCAACTCCACCCAAGGGAAGCAGGACATTCTGTTTTGGTCCCCAGTTCCCTGCTCCGACGTCCTTGCTCTGAGCCCCCACAGGGGTGGGCTTCATCCTTCAGGGTCCCCACCATCCTGGCCCCTGTACAGGCTGCACCTGTACTTCCAGCCACCTGCATGGTCCAAGCAGTCCCTGACGAAAGAAGCCTGCTGCTACTGGAGCCCACCCCAGTGCTCAGACCCACCCCAGATCACATTAACAAGACACCAGAGGAGAGACTGAGGCCAGACCCCTGGTGCATTCAGAAAGGCCCAGCCTCAGAGCCCACCTGGGGCCCAAGACACCAATTAGCAACTTGGCCACAAATCGATACAGATGTGCACACATGTGCCCATATGCATGTACAAACACATTCCTGCACTCTCTCTCACACACGTACACACACACACACACACACACACTCCTCCTAACCTGGCGCAAAGTGACCAGATGCTGGAAGTAGGGACAGCTGTGACCAGTAACAGAACCAATTGCCCAGAACAATGCCTGGATCCCTCATCAGGCAAGTCAACCAGCAAAATAACACACTGGTCTTGTTTGTATGTGCATACGGGCATGTGCGTGCACATCTGTATCGATTTATGGCCAAGTTGCTAATTGGTGTCTTGAGCCCCAGGTGGGCTCTGAGGCTGGGCCTTTCTGAATGCACCAGGGGTCTGGCCTCAGTCTCTCTTCTGGTATCTTGTTCATGTGATCTGGGGTGGGTCTGAGCCCTGGGGTGGGCTCCAGTAGCAGCAGTTTCTTGAAGTTTCCGGTCATTTAAGAAGTAATACCCATGAAATGTCACTACCAAAATAATCACGCAAAAACTAGATGACATGAAATGCATAATCTGTCTCCTTAGAGGTGTTGGGGGCTAGAAGGACCTCAGGGATGTCTCCCACCTCACGTGCCCAGTTGCGCATACTGATGATACACACTGTGTGCAGTGATCACACATGGGCACACATGCATGTGCATGCAGCCAAATACACAGGACACTTGCCAGCCACCCTGAGCACACAAGCACAGTGATCGCATGCACGCGCACCCACATATTTGCACACAGACGACTCTGCAGTGGGTGAGCACACCTCTGCGAGCACACACTAACTCACATGCACGCAGACACGCATCAGGTGGCCATGCCGCTACCTGGGCTGAGGAGGCTGTGATGCTTGCAGTGGACAATGGCAGCCACCAGCAGGTCCTTGAGGACACGCAGGACCTTGCTGGGCACAATGTGGCCGCGGCACTTGGTGTTGTCCTCTGAGGAGACGCTGAAGACGTCATCTGTCGTCCACTGCTCCATGCCAGCCACTTCTCTGGGGATGCCCAGGCGGCAGGATGCGGGGCCGTCCCCTGGCTCAGCAGCTCCAGGTTCCTCGATCAGGAGAGCCTCAGCATCCACCCACATGGGCACCTCCATGTCCAGCGGGTCCTCTGAGGAGCGCAGGGCAAACTGGAAGGCTTCCAGGTCACGGGAGTAGTCCACGATGAAGCGTGGGTCCAGGGCATGCACGCGCTCCAGCACCGTGAGCAGCACGTTCTCCGCACGCTGGAAGTCCTGCATGCGGGACACCTCCCGCGACCGGATGGCCTGCAGGTAGTGGTGCCACAGGGGCACCTGTACAGCCATGGCCAGGGCCGGGGCAGGGGCAAGTGTCCCTTCAGCAGTGGCAGAGAAGGGCTGGTGTCCCCCGAGGGCCACTCTGCAGGCTGGCTGTGTGGTCAGCTGGGAGGATGAGGCACCTGTCCAGGTGAGGAGCAGGTCGGCAGGCCGGGCTCCAGCTCCCCACAGAGCAGAATTCCAGAGTGGCGGGCGCGGCGCAGTGGGTTAAATAGCTGAACGGGGGCCAGGGCCTTTGAAGTGGGGTGAGTCAGTCACCAACAACCAGGAATGTCACAGGGGCTGTCCAGGGCAGGCAGAGGCCAGGCCTGGTCACCACCCTCCTCCCTTCCATCAGACTGACCCCCGTATGTCAGGCCTGTGACACAGTCAGGCTCGGGACAGCCCCAGACAAACATCACTCATCACTACTCGGGACCTGGCACTTGCAGGCTGTGCTGTCCCCAGGAGGTGGGGCTCCTGGAGCTCCTCCCCCCACCCTCATCCTGGCAGCCACAGCAGCAGGGTCTCTGTAAATCGGCCCTTCCCCACCAGGCTTTCCACCAGGTTGGAGGGGACAGGAGGCGTCCCCAAGGCTCAGATGAGAAAGGCTGCACAGACCCAATTACGTGGGAGCCTCCGGCCAGGACTGCAGGCCGAGTCTCCGTTACTGTCCCCTCAGACACCTGTGCCCACGTAAAGGTGGGCAGACAGGCGTGAATCCTGCCTCCCCCCAGCTGTGTGTCCAGCCACCTGGGCAGGACCCTCGGGCAGCCCACAGGTGCCCTGGCACCCACCTGGCCTGGGGGCTGGAGAGGAGCAGCGTCTAAGGGAAAGCTAGCTCCGTGGCTCTGCCTCCTGGGCTGGAAAACCCCATCCTGCTGGCCCCTCCAGCACCTGTGCCGGGCCCCCTGCCCGCCCCACCCACCTCCCTCCTCAGGGCCGTGCAAGGCCCAACCAGCAGGCAGGGAGCCGCCCCACCGACCCTTGGCCCCGTGGCTCAGCACTGGGTGCTGAGTTGCTGGAGCAGCGTCTGCAAACAGCAGCCATGGAGACAGCCCAGCACAGGCAGCGCAGAAACACTGTCACCACGGCCACCTGCATATGGCCCCAGACCCTGGGGAACTGCGCCTGAGTCAGACCCGCAGACAGATCTGGGATCCGAGGAGCAAAGAGCACTGGGTGAGGGTGGGGGACCTCAGCCGCTCACTTCCTGGTGCTTGGAAACCCCTCGATGGGCTGCAGCCCCAGTGGGCAGGGCAGGGAACTCCCCACCTCACAGGGCAGCCCACGCCAAGACCAAGCAAGAGACAGCTTTCCCTCCTCAAACCCTGCCAGTCCTGTCCTCTGGGGCTGCCCGGAGCACACATGCCCTCCCTTAGGGCAGCTGCCCAGGGTCAAGAGCCCACTGCCCTCAGCTCCTCATGCACCCCCAGCCCGCCTCTGCCCCCACACCCGCTGGCGTTTGCACCATGCTCCTCATCTCTGTCGGGCTCAGACCTGCAGGGAGATGGTCACTGCTGTGGAGTAGCCAGGGGTCCTACAGTCCCAGACACCGGTTCTGACCCTCACCCTCGGCCTTGGGGTCTGGCAGCTCAGGACCCTGTTCTGGGCCTGGGCTCTGCGTCTCTCATTCAATGATGTCTTAAGTTTCTGCAGCTCCACTTTCCCAGGAATCTCACAGGGGTCTCCTGAATTCACCCAGGGGACCCAGCCGCCCCCACCTACTACAGCACCCAGGAGCTACCTCAGCCCCTCCCCACCAAGCTCCCCCATCCAGCACCTGCTCCCCACCCAATGACAACAAGCAGGGGGCATCCCCGTGCTCCCCACCCCTCCTGTCCCCTGGGCGCTCTCCTCCCGTGGCCCCTTTAGATCCTCCTGGCTGGTGACATCAGAGCACCCAAAACTGGGTCTTCCCTCTTCCCCCCTCCGCTGGGGACGTCGCCTTGCCACACCTGTTGTCAGTCTGCGCTGGGCCCTGCCCTAGACCCTGCTCCTCGGTGCCCCAGGCCCCCGCTGCACCTCCACAGCGCCTCCCCTTGGGTATCGCAGGCCCCCGGAGCCCAGCGAGCTCGGGAGCGTCTCCGGTCTCCCGCCCCAAGCGGCACTCCCGTCCCTGGACTCCCACCTCGGGGCCACCCCACTCTGCCCGGTTAGCCTTGATCCGCACCCCCAGATGCCCCCACAGCCTGCCCACCTGACTCCACTTCCCTTCAGCCCGGTGCCACCCGCTCATCTAAGGCGCTCCCCGTCCTGCCATCGACAGGAAGACCGCGCTGCTCCTGCTCCACCGCCGCCCCGAGCTGCCCACGCGAGCCCACCACGGGGAGTCGGGATCTGACCGAGAAGCACCCTGGCTTCACGCTCTCCAGATTCCCACTGCCCACAGGACGGGACAGTCCTCGCCTGGCCTCGGGACAGGCCCCACCTGGCTGGCCGCTGACCCTCTCCTGGACTCAGCGTGGACACACACCCCACCCGTCCCTCGGCCCCTGCATGTCGGCCTCCGCCAGTCCCTGAGCCGCACTGAATTGGTTGCCCCCAGTGCCCCGTCCTCCACCTGCCCCCTTGCCTGGTGGCCTCCAGTGCCCCCCGGGCCTCAGCACACAGGAGAGCCTCCAGCGGGCCAGGCCGCATCCTTCCCCTCAGCCTCTCTCATGGGTAGAAAATGCTACGGCCAGCCCTGCATGGTGGGACCGCGTGGGCCACCTCACGCAGCCTGGAGCTGGAGCCAGGCATAGTGCACCACACCAGGGAACGTGGGCCAGGGAAGGGGCCCTGAGAAGCTGGACCTGCAGGCACAGAGCAGGGACAGCCAGTGGAGAGGGAGGAAGACGGGGCTGCTAGCAGAGGGGACAAGAGGCCGCCTTGGCCGCAGTGCAGCGTGTGACCAGGACAGGGCCACAGTGCAGCGGGACCACCACCCGCAGGCCCCAGGAGGGCAGGATGGTGAGGGCGGGCAGGGGATGGAGAGACCGGACGTGGACAGCGTTGTGGGTGGATCTGACAGCCTCTATCAGGGCCCTGGCGACACAGGAAGGGGTTTGCTGGTGCACCCTCCACCCACGTACGTACATGTTTGTGTGGATTCGATCTCAGTATAGCTCAGGGACAAGCACACAGATCCTGTATTTCAGGAATTCCCAGATATGCTGAGAAGGACAGACAGAGTGGGAGGGGACCTCACGGGTGCAGACCTGCGCCGTCTTGGAGGTCACGTGTGCCGTCTGGTGTTGACCGCCCCCGGCATTGTTGCGCAACGTCGCTGTGTGGGTGTCCTGGGGTTGCTGTGACAGATCACCACAGACAGCGCAGCTTAAAACAACAGAAGTGTGTTCTCACAGCTCGGCAGGCCGGACGCCCAGGATCAAGGTGTCACGTGGCTGACTCCGTCCACAGGTCGCAGGGGACTGTCTGCTCCTGCTTCTTCCAGCTTGGGCGGCTGTGGCCTCCATCCTCACGTGGTCCCCTCTGGTATGTGTCTGTGCTGTCTCCTCTGCCTCCCTCCTACAAGGACACTTGGGATGGCATTTAGGGCATTTAGGACTCCTGACAATGAGTCTCACAACCTCATGTCACTATTCACTGTTACCGTACAAGGCAGTACTCACCGCAGGTTCTGGGGACTGGAAAGTGGCCGTTATCCAGCCACGGTCAGCATCCGCCAGCACCACCATGTGGAGCACCAGACCTCGCCAGGACACTGGCCGCACGGGCCCCACTCACCAGCCCCCTCTATGAGCCCTGGGCCACCACGTGGACTCCCAGCCCACCTGTCCAGGTTGCGTTTTCAAGTCCCACTCTGTGCTGGCCTCTGAGGCCCCCACCTAGGGCTGGGCACAAGAACACCAACACCTCTTGGACCAGAGTCCTTGTTGTCTGTGGGGTGGGTGGTATTTGGGGTGAAGGCTGTGCAGGAAGCAGAGCCGGCAGCAGGTTTAGGGAACAGGCCCTGTGCAGCTGCAGCAGCAGGAGAGAGGAGGGGGTGGGGCCAGGAGGGAAGGGTGGGCATGGTGGGCAGGGGGGCGAGGAAGTAGCTGGCAGATAAAAAGCCACGGCTGGGGCAGGAACAAGTCCCGGCTGACGCTGGCCCAGGTTTGCCAGGCGATCCTTGTGCAAGCCTCTGACCCTCTGACCGGCACGAGCTGGTCTGCTGCTTGCTGGCTGGAATTGCGATGCCACAGGGCAAGGAGTAAAACCGATAGAGCGGGAGGCACCAGGGGCCAGGAGAGGTGGCGGCTGCGTGGGCCTCCAACTTCAGTGGAATCTCAGAAGGGATCTGGGTGGGGCTGGGGGCCAGCCGCTCCCCAGCTGTGTTCCTTTCTCACACGCTGGGGACATCACAGCAAGATCCACAGGACGCTCAGGCCACAGGACGGCCCTGCAGCCTCCCTCTCGCGGGACCCTTGCCTGCCCTGGACTCGCCTGGGACTCACTGGCCCGGGGAGAGGCTGGGCAGGAGGGATGACCCCCAGGTGGCGCGGCCCTGCAGAGAAAGGTGGCCAGGCCCCAAGAGGGGGAAAGCCCAGTCTCCGCCCGCCACGGCCACAGCCGGCACCCCTGCCTAGGCTGGGCTCCAATGGCGTTTTTCCGAGTTGGACTCACACGAGGAGACCGCCTGCCACCCCCACGCCGATTTCTCACCCCGCATTCCCTGCCGCTTCCTCCCGCCCTGTGGCCCACGGCACGGGGCGCAGCCGCCCGCTCGGGCCCAACCTCATCCCACATCACTCTCGGTCCCAGTTCCTGGACCCCAGACTGCTCCGTGGCCCATGGCGTCCATGACACTGTGCAAAGAACTCCGTGGGCACGAAGCTCTCCTCTGCTGCTGGTGGTGTCTCGAAGGCATATTTCCACTGGGTTACAAGACGTGAGCGTTTTGCAGAGCCCAGGAGTTAAATCGCTGCTGTCTGTCTGTCTGTGGCCAGGGCTGTCCTCCTGACCACCGTTCCCATCACTGCCCAGGGAGGGACCCTTCGGCCTGCTTCTCAGGAGGCGGCCCCTCTGAGCTGCCCCCAGCACTGGCCTCCTGCCTCTGGCTTGGGCACACAGGGCAGCCCAGCTCCGTCCGTCCAGGGTCCCAGTCGGCCAGCCCGGGGCCAGGCTGGAGTCCCCCCATCCTCTCTGGAACGCACAATCCACTGCAAGTCCCGGGGGTAGAATNATCCATTATGCTATTGTTGTACAGTTTTTGACATGC